CACCGGTCGGATACATTTGTGCAGTACTAGATATATTTCCAAATAGCTGAGGACTTAGTTCAAAGATACTGAGAAATATCCATTCATGCAGCTTTTCACAGAACTTGATTAAAGAGAGAACAGGATTGGAAAATTTATTTGGCCTGTGATTGACATCACATAAGTCTGTTGGATTTTGGAGCACCCCTCCCCCCTCAAAAAAAAACCCTCCCGTCCAAAATTTTGTGATGTCATGAAATTTTATAAGATTTGGGCAATCTTGCTCCCCCCCCCCCCCCTTTTTTTTTTTTTTGCAAGTTCTGTATAAGAACACTGAAAACAGAAAATCTGGAAATTTGGTGAGATTGTGGGTTATTTTATGAATTTGTTTTGTAATTATTTCTAGATGAAGCTTGGAGTCAGATTGGATACCATGATATTCATGGGTAAAATTTCTGGCTGTCATAATAGAGTTTTAAAAAATTATGTAAACATTTTAAACCTTGCCTTTTTGATAAATTCTCATAGTTTGCAACGTATTGCAATAATATACGCAAGGAAATGAAAATATCAGGTGAGAGGCAGGTGAAATACATCATTCTGCTTCTTTCTAGGAGTTGGTTGCACGGATCAACAAAAAAGGCTACATAAACTAAATTAATCACAATTAAATTGTGAAACAAGAGATCACCGAAAGAATCTTTATCACCCCTCAAATTAGAGACTCATGGATATGCCAGAACAGTCAAAGAACACAGTGTGGATCTTTCGATAGGAAGAAAGTATCAATAAAAGGCAATTCAGAATTCATAAAACAGCCAGACACAATCAGACGCCTGCAGTGCAGCCATCTTCAATATGTTCACTTAAGAGTGCAGCTGTTGAATCCAGCCAATTGTTTTCTTCAAGAGGGTTTGGAACAGATATAATTGCCTTGATTAACAGGTTTTCTGTTAATCCCCAGCGATCAACTTAATTCACACAATAATTAATTGATATGCAATCGTATGAATGAGATTGTATGTCTGGCTTAGTTGAAAAATAGTAAAATCTTGAAACAAATACCCTAATAATGAACATAATTTGATGGAAAAATACAAATGAAACATATTGTTTTGAGTGGTGCAGAAAGCAGAACATTGTTCTTCTTGCCCTCCATATTTTATCTGACCATAATGATAATTTTCAGGATTGCTGAACTTTATAGTTAGAGTTTTTTTTTTTTAATGGCTCCATAAAAATGAAAGAATTTCACTTGTTTCAGATCCCTAGTTTAGGTGTGTGTACTGTACTCTGGAGCAGGGGTCTCCAACCTTGGCAACTTTAAGACTTGTGGACTTCAACTCCCAGAATTCTGGGAGTTGAAGTCCACAAGTCTTAAAGTTGCCAAGGTTGGAGACCCTTGCTCTGGAGCACTCCTATTTTGTCCTTGTGCTGAGCTTCTCCAGTGCTGCCCACTTCATGGTACATGAGCATAATTGTTTGTTCAAGAGTTAAGAATATCAGTGAGCTTGCTCCCAAGAGAGAGGAGGCATTTCTGAAGTCTGGCCAATGGGAAGAATACAGTATGATTAACATACCTGTGCATCTAGAAGCATTATGATTGGTCTTGCCTTCTCTCTGTCAGTGCAATGTCAGCCCAAGATATTTTGTTGCCTGGAATGGAGCTAGGGTCAGCATATAACACTTTTTTTCCAGTTCAGACACCGATTCCTGTATTCAGTGTCATGTTTTGCCCTCCATCCATACTGCCATTCAAAGTCAGTTATTCATCTTGCTGAGGAACAGGATTGGATCTATAAACGGAGAGATAAATAAGGGCTATAAGCCATCCCCAGCAAGCTCAGCTTCTGTATATTTATTTATTTATATCCCACCTTTATTATTTTTATAAATAACTCAAGGCAGTGAACATAACTAACACTCCTTCCTTCTCCATTTCCCCAGTGATAACCCTGTGAGGTGAGTTAGGCTGAAAGAGAGGTGACTGGCTCAAAGTCACTCAGTTAGCTTTCGTGCCCAAGGCAGAATTAGAACTCACAATTTCCTGCTTTCTAGCCTGGTACCTTAACCACTAGTCTAGACCAAACTGACTCTAGATTCACATTTTTAGGTTAAGGAGCAAGATATCGAGAGAAAGGTAAACATGTACTACTATACAGTACCTAAAGGAGGATAGGCATAGGAGATCAAGCTAGGTATGTCAATCTTCTTCTTCCTTTTATTTGTCACTCACAACTTGTGATTAAGCCCGTGTTTCCAATTTACTATGTGCAAACTGTCCAAACCTTCCCTCTGCAAGCACATTGTAACTGCGATTGTGGATTAAAATATCAGAATACACTTTTGTGTTTTAATATCAGAGCAGGGTTATGCGTTCATACACAAAGACACACACCCATATAAACAAAAGTGCACAGTTTCTCTCCTGTTGCATAATTTATTCTGGTTTTGGTAATAAGGGGAGTAATTCGTTCTCCACCCTTAACCACAGGAAATCTTATTCAACAACTCCTCTGCCTTCTCTAAATTTCTCCAGGCTTTCCCCATCTAATTAACAGCTAATAATTTACTGTTCCAAGAGTTGTAAATAAGATTCTTAAACAGCTATATCCTGCCACTATCACTGTTTTCTGTGACTTTTCTTCTTCTGTTATGGAATGATGAGATACAATAATCAAGAATAATGTTTAGCTTAGAAAGTTTGGTTCATTTTCTCTTCTCTGCTGAAAATATTCTTCAAGACCTTCTTGGTGGGTCTTCTCAGGCATTGGAATTTCCTGGAACATCCTCCTCTACATTTAAAAGAAAATAATCTGATTTCAAAGATGTTCAACTGGTTTTCATAGTAAGATTGCCTTCCTACAAGTCTGTTGCGGTTCTGTTTTTTTAAAGCATTACAATAACTTGTGCTGGCTCTGAAATTTACAGTTGGGCAATACATTTGTTCAGGTCAACTACAGTGTCACAAAATCTTTGTTTTAAAGGCCCATATAGATACGAGCAGTGATGGGCTTCAGCCGGTTCGCACCACTTTGGGAGAACTGGTTATTAACTTTCTGAGCAGTTTGGCAAACTGGTAGTTGGAAGAAATCATTAGGGCAGAGAACCGGTTGCTAAATTACTTGAATCCCACCACTGGATACGAGCAACAAAAAGGTATATCTTTTCCCTTTAGAGTCGGCTATTTGAACCATCCTCTTCTTTTTCTTTAACTAAGGTTAAAAATAGAATTGGAGGAGGATTAAAGCATAGAAAATTGACAAGAAGCATTTGGCTGAAGCCCTCCACTTAGAAGAACATTCTTGGATCAGTTGAGCAGAGCTCAAGTAGTCATACCAACTCCAGCTTTCCTCTTAAGACGGGGTGGGCAAATGTGGCCCTTTTACAACCTGTGGACTTCAACTCCCAGAATTCCTGAGAGAGCTTGGCTGTCTCAGGAATTCTGGGAGTTGAAGTCCACAGGTTGTAAAAGGGCCACATTTGCCCACCCCTGTGACTTAAGAAAAAGTTTTTGCACACATATCTTTTCTAACAAACTGGCAGAAAACGTGTTTGCCCAAAGCAAGCAAACAAGCAAGCAAGCAAATAAACAAACCAACAAGCAACTAGGCAGTAGAAATCAAAAGGAAGAGGAGCAGTTAGCAACTATGACCATGAGGGAGTAGGTTTAGTGAATGAGAAAAAAACAGAGAACTGTTTTAATTCTTAGTGAATTAAAATGTTAATCAGTTAATAATCCAGTAATTAAGAGCGCTTAAGATTTATATAATACTTCATAGTGCTTTATAGCCCTCTCTAAGTGGTTTACAGAGTCAGCCTATTGCCCCCAACAATCTGGATCCTCATTTTACCCATCTTGGAAGAATGGAAGGCTGAGTCAACTTTGAGCCAGTCAGGATCGAACCCCTGGCAGTCAGCAGAATTAGCCTGCAATGCTGCATGCTGACCACTGCGCCACCATGGCTCTGCTAATGTCTTCTAGTGAAGACCCCTTGCCCAAACGCCCCCCAAAACATGGAACTGACTCTCATTATGTTTATAGCTTCACCTCTTTCACAATTGCTCAGGATTGTAACTTGGAAAGAGTGGAGAATAATTTTTATTCTCATGATAACCTTACAAGGTAAATTAAGCTAACATAGAAACAGGGTTCACATAGCACAGCACTGCAAGCATACTGTAGTCTGTTTGTTTGGAGCTAGCTGTGTGACACCTGGCAATTGATTAACTTGCTTAAATAAGTCATGGCTCAGTTGCATTGAAGAATACAATTGGTGGCCTATAATTTCCCTTTCTGAGTTTTTGAGGTCCTATTTGAACATGAATTCTGAAAATAAGTCTTGATTTCATGCCATTTTGAAGTGGGAAACTAATGGAAAAAACAATTGTGATTTATGCCATAGCTAAAAGACAAAGAACATTTCCAAAACAGAACTGTCCCCATCTGTTCTGCAGCCTTATTACACCAAACATATGCCATGGAACATCATATAGGTGCCATTTGAAGTCTTGTAATTTCACGAACACTTCCACTATTCAAAAGGCTTGACTTCTTGTTCTCAGCAGCCTTATCAATTTGGAAAAAAGCTTATAGATGACAGCTTTTCCTTTAACCTCTGGAACAAGCTTCAATAAATAAAAATACAGGTGCTATGGAATCAATTCAATATGTTCTAACAGTTATGACCAGAGCATAAAGTTCCGGAAATCTCAGCTTCATGGAATTTAGCCTGACTTGACAAAAAAGGAAGATGGTGTGAAGGATTGGGCTACTATCATTCCAGCTTTTTGTTGCATTCTGCCACATTCTCCCTCAAACTGTTCTTTGTCCTATAACGATGACCTCAGCCTGTACTTTACACGATTTTTAATAATGAATAAAATTGTTGGCCCAGAGCTCTTGATTGATGAGCAGTTGACAAAATACCCCACGCATATTTAAAAAAAAAAACACCCCTCCAACACTTCTCTGGACAAACCCTAGGACTGATACGAAGGTTGTTATCTGTCTCTTGCAGGAAGAAACTTGGCATCCTTGTGGCTTCATGAATGTCTGATCCAGGCAGCTGCACGCTGCAGATTCACAGGGCTGCTGCAGAGGTAAGGGGAAGAAACATAGCAGCTTATCGGGGACCAGATGGGCAATCCCACCCTTGCCAAATTGGGACTAAGAAATGGAGGCAGGGAAAAAGGAAAAAAAGTTTCTGAAAATCATCCAGAAAGAGAAAGTGGTAAATTGTTCCATTCTACTGCCCCCTAGAGAAATCTCTTCTTTGGGCTAGGTAGGAGATGAGACTAGTAAAGTGAGAATGAAGAAAGTATAGAAAATCCACAGAGTAGAGCTTCTGGAATTTTTTCCAACCCTTTTACTACTAGCGGCCATAAAAAGTTTCTGTATTTCATCTGTGTAATAAACTAATGTGCTTTGTGTGTTTCTGTTTTGATTTCTTGTGCTGCATCTGTGTATCCAATAAAAGAAAATATTTGTAGTTCAGGATTGAAATGAGGGCTCCTAGGTACTCCCTGAGCTTGACTGCTTTCTTGCAGATGCTTCATTACCAAAACTAGGCAACACCATTAGTGCGAGAAAGGAGTGGGGATTGCTCTCACTTTATATTCTAATGGCTTGCCCTGTTGGTGTTGGCAAGCATGGTCTTCGAGGTTCTTTGATTGGGCTGTTAAGCTTGTTTGGCAGTTCCTTGATCGGGGAACTTGATTGTTGGTCTGATGTTAATCTTGGAGATAATCTATGTTCATCTAGGTCAGGGGATGTCAAACTCAGATCGTCACTGTGGGATCACATCACATATCGGGACTTTTTCCCCCTTCGCTAAACGCGGCGTGGGCGTGGCAAGCATATGACGCATCCAGCCGGGAATTTGATAGTCCTGATCGAGGTGCTGATAGCTGGTGGGGAGTTGTTTTGGTCTTTTTGTTCCCTTTTTGGCTTGTTGATTGACTCTTTTGCATAGTATGTAGATATTGTTTGTGTCTATGTGTCTATTGATGGCTTAATTTGCCAGAGTGCCAGGCATCTAGAAATTTCCTAGCATTTTTGGACTAAGCTTGGTCTACGATGGTCACAGTTTCCCAGTTGAAATTACGGTTAAGTGGTCTGTCCATTAAGTTTGAACTTACCCCAACAAACTCCCACTCCTTACTAGCACTGATGATGTTACCTAGTTTGGGTAATGAAATGTCTGCCAGAAAACAACCAAGCTCAGAGAGCACCAAGCAATTCACATCTGTGTGTTTTTGTGCACATGCCCCAATCTAGAGAATATGAACAAGAGGGAGAAGGACTTTAGACCAGAGCAGTCAGCAGCATTCTGAGTCACTGCCCAGTGGCCTCTCCTTATTGGAATATCCTAGGACCATGATGATGAAACTATGGCACGCATGCCACAGGTGGCACGTGAAGCCATATCTGCAGGCACACGAGTGTTGCCCTAGCTCAGCTCCAGCACACATGCGCGCGCCAGCCACCTGATTTTCGGCCCTTCCGGGCCACTGGAAATCAAGAAACAGGCTGTTTCTGGCCTCCGGAGGGCCTCCGGGGCGGTGGGGAAGGCAGTTTTCACCCTCCCCAGGCTCCTAGAAAGCCTCTGGAGCCCGGGGAGGGCGAAAAACAGGCCTTCTGGGCCCACCAGAAATTGGGAAATGGGCCATTTCCAGCCTCTGGAGGGCCTACGGGGGGGGGGGAAGCCGTTTTCACCCTCCCCAGGCTCCAAGAAAGCCTCTAGAGCCTGGGGAGGGCGAAAAACGGGCCTACCGGGCCCACTGTGCCATCACGTGCCAAAAGCAGGGGGAGCACGGGGGGGTCACGCGTGCATGTGCGGGGGATGGGGCACATTGAATTATGGGTGTGGGCACGCACGCGCGCAAACCCCCGGCCCTCCCCCCGCTTTTGGCACATGATGGCAAAAAGGTTAGCCATCACTGTCTTAGGAGATTTTTTTTTTCTCCACAGTCCTGGGTGGAAAATGTCAAACTCATTTTCAAACTGGATCTTCCTTTAGCTAGCTTCTCCCATCGTACTTGATCTTCAGGAGAAAGTGTTACGTCATCCAGAACGGGCTACCTTCCTAATATCCAGGCTTGTGACTTGTGATTGGTTGTCTGGATTCAGCATCCGTTTATTGAACCTCATCCTGTCCATTGCACAGTCTGCAGGCAAATGTCAAATACCTGCTCAGCCTTTGATTTGTGTAGAAAGGAGAGGCAGAGGCAGCTTAGTGATAACCATTGGCATTGTTTGTTTGTTTATTCCATTTCTCCAGTAGCTCATCTCAGCCAAGCGATTCTGGGCAGTTTACAATTCTAAAACTATAAAACAGTTAAAACAATTAAAAGCAATAAAAACATCCAAAAAATAAACATACACAGCAGCCAAGATAGCTAGCCAATTAATAATGAATACAAGAAATGTAGCTGTTGACATATTCTGAGCCCAAAGCCCTGGTACACAGTCAGGGTTTTTAAAGCCTTCTTAGCCAACAGGTTTGCAGCCATTCTAATCTCCGATGGGAGAATGTTTCACAAAGCCGGGGCTATAGCAGAGACTAGTTCCCCCTAAATTGGCACTCTTTGGTTGATGGGCTTTGCAGCATGCCCAATCCGCTGTACCGAATTATGGATGACTGGCAAGGTATTGCAACAGTCAATGCTGGCAAAAGTGGCCTCAACTTGGCATTCAGTGTTTAAAATAACCAAACACAGTAGTGGTCTCCTGCAAGATCATCATTTGCCTAGGGTGGCATAGAGGGAGAGAGCACAGCAACAAGCAGAAGTGTGTTTTGAGTGCAGCCGACAACTCACCACTTAGTGATCACCAGACGGCAGCAAAGTGAGGAAAAACCCTCTAACTCTTTGTTGCCATCTAGTGATCATCTGGATTTCCTCTTTCTTCATCTCCTCTCATTTTAAATTGGCAACAACTCTTTTGCCATCTCTTTCTCAGCTTTGGATGTTGATCACACATTCACAATGTTTTGTAATATTTTTGTCTGGTCTTAAGCCTGTTTACTTTTGGGCTAGCTGGTGTCAGCTCTCAAGTAAATCCACTGTCAGCCATAGAAACTCACTGAGGTCTGGGTCAGGGGTGAAATGTAAAATTTGTTACTACCAGTTCTGTGGGCGTGGCTTGGTGATGGTGGGGGTAATGTGACTGGGTGGGCGTGGCCAACTTTTTTTTTTTTTTTAAACTTTTCAAAGCATTTTTTCTAATGCTTTGAAAAGCCTCTCTGCCAATCAGGCAACTCAGCTGGGATTGTCAGAGAGGCTTTTGAAAAAATACCTCTCTGCCGATCAGGCAACTCAGCTGCGATTGTCAGAGACTTTTCAAAGCATTTTTTTTACCACCTCTTCAGCCAAGAGGTTGCAGAAAAAAACGCTTTGAAAAGCCTCTGACGATCCCAGCTGAGCCGCGCGATCATCAGAGGCTTTTTTTTTTACTTTTAAAAGCATTTATTCGTTGGAAGAGGTTGTAGAAAAAATGCTTTTAAAAGTAAAAAAAGAAAAAGCCTCTGATGTTCGTGCGGCTCAGCTGGGCATGGTGGGAAGGGAGGGCGCAGGGATTTTTGCTACCGGTTCTCCGAACCACCCGCCGCCATCGCTACAGGATCGGGCCATCGGTCTGAACCGGGAGCATTTCACCCCTGGTCTGGGTGACTTTGAAGCAGCCATTTTCATTTAGTCTGGTCTACTTCATTGGGTTGTGTGAAAAACACTGGAGGTCAGGGCACCTTGTATACTCCCCTGAACACCTGGAGGAAAAATAGTATATAAATATAATATAATAAATACATAAAAAAGAGCAGGCTGCTGAGTAGTTTAACCTGCTTCAAAAGTGGCCTTGAGCAGCCCTTCCAGTACCCAAGAAAGCCATGCTGTGTGGTTCACTGAAAATCCAACATAGTGTCCACTGCCATGTTATAGTTGTACTCAATGCTCTGCTCAGTTATATTGGCTGCAGGATTTATACCATTCAGGCTCTGATTGTGTATTAGTTTGTTTAGTTGGTTAATAGAATAGAATAGAATTTTTTATTGGCCAAAGTGTGATTGGACACACAAGGAATTTGTCTTGGGGCATACGCTCTGAGTGTACATAAAAGAAAAGATACGTTCGTAAAGAATCATAAGGTACAACACTTAATGATAGTCATAGGGTACAAATAAGCAATTACGAAACAATATCAATATAAATCGAAAGGATACAAGCAACAAAATTACAGCATACAATCATAAGTGGAAGGAGATGCATGGTGGGAACGATGAGAAGATTAATAGTAATGCAGACTTAGTAACTAGTTTGACAGTGTTGAGGGAATTATTTGTTTAGCAGAGTGATGGCGTTCGGGGAAAAACTGTTCTTGTGTAGTTGTCTTGGTGTGCAGTGCTCTATAGCGTCGTTTTGAGGGTAGGAGTTGAAACAGTTTATGTCCAGGATGCGAGGGGTCTGTAAATATTTTCACAGCCCTCTTTTTGACTCGTGCAGTATACAGGTCCTCAATGGAAGACAGGTTGGTAGCAATTGTTTTTTCTGCAGTTCTAATTATCCTCTGAAGTCTGTGTCTGTCTTGTTGGATTGAAGAGCCAAACCAGACAGTTATAGAGGTGCAGATGACAGACTCAATAATTCCTCCGTAGAACTGAATCAGCAGCTCCTTCAACATGTCTCAGAGGCCTTATAACTAACCAAAATGATACAAAAAAGAATGCATGTGTGTGTGTGCGCATGCGGGTGAATGTATCACTGAATTAATCAAAACCCAATCTAGTTAGTTTTGTTTTCTTCTCACACACCCATTTTGACAATTGTGTTGTAAAAAAATTGTTGAGTTCTTGTATTGCATGGGTGGCCATGCCCACCCCCGGTTTAGTGAAGGGGTAAAAAAGTCACAATACGTCACGTGACGACGACGGGACGATGCAACTTTGACACCTTTGTTGTATTGTAAATTTTGTGTTTTTAACTTTACACAGCCTCAGGAAGATGACAAAAATCATAATCAAATAGTAAGGAGAGATACAGACAGTAGATATTAGAACGTATGTATTGATTTCCTGACTAACCATAATCTGCAATTAGTCAATAGCATTTATAACAGCTGATTAATAGATTGAGGCTTAACTCAGTTTAATGTAATGTAAGCAAGAGAGAAAACTGACTAGACTGAACTATTAAAGACAGTCAAATCTAATTCTTTATCCTTTTTTTCTATAACAGAACTTTGCTGCCACGGCTGATTTTGGAGGCACCTTGCTGGATCAGACACTGGGCAGAAGTCGACCTGATAAGATGTCCCCCTGTCCACCCCAGCAGGGATGGACTCGGAGTACCTTCCTCCCTTTGTACAACCCCCTGGCAGGGGGGGGAAGCTTGCTCACAGGGGGAAATGGAGCTAACCTGGCAAGAGATTCTCTCAATCTCAGAATTGCAGGTAAGCATGGGACTGACAGAATACGTTATTATTTGAACAGCTTTGAGGGAGATAGGTTAGACATATTGACAAAAGTCAACATAGCAGCTAAAATAAGAGCTTGCTGCATAGAGCAAGGCAATGTGGAAGGAAGGAGCAAAGTGAAGAAGATTTGTTCATAACAGATAGTCCTTGTTTAACAACCAAAACTGGGACCTGCAACTCCCATCTCCGTTAAGCAAGACATCATGTGACTTGCAATTTTACTGCTGGTTTCTCTATTGATTTCGCTTGTCACTAACTGGCTATCAAGTGGCTTGGTCCATGTTTTGTCCTTAGTCAAGTGGCAAAAACACGATGGCTAATATGATGTCTGAACAAGTGGTGGGTTTCAAATTTTTTTACTACTGGTTCTGTGGGTGTGGCTTGGTGGGCATGGGAGGGGAAGGATACTCTAAAATCTCCATTCTCTCCCCAATCCAAGGGAAGGTTACTGCAAAATCCCCATTTTCTCCTGATCAACTGGGACCTGGGAGGCAGAGAATAGATGGGGGCGGGGCCAGTCAGAATTTTTACTACCAGTTCTCCAAGCTACTCAAAATTTCCGCTACCGGTTCGCCAGAACTGGTCAGAACCTGCTGAAACCCACCTCTGGTCTGAACCCAGTTTAATAGTTGTGGTGGGATTTGGACAGCCCACAAATGTAATAATAAACAAAACAGACAAACAGTGTCTCTTGCAGGAAGTGGATCTTTATTTCTTCTTCTTCCCTTGCCTTCTCCACCCGGTATCAATTTACAACCCTTGGCCTGGTATAAAGTGATTCATTCAGATCTTTGGCAAGAATTCTCTCCCTTTTCCCTGGCAGCCAGCTGTGTAAAGTTAAAGAATAGGGGAGAAAAACCCAGAGCAAAATCTGTCATACAGAGATTCTGCAATGGGCAACATAAAAAGAGTGATTTACCAACTGGAAAGCACTTGGTTTTCTGATTGAACACACCTTTATTAGAAAAACGACTTCTCTAGTCTTAAAACCCTGAACTCAATACTGTAGCTGTATATTGCTTGCTTCGGTTTTCCTGCTCACGCCATTTTTTTTTTCCTTTAGAAGAAATGGTATATTTCATTTGGTACTTTTGCAAACTTTTACAGCCTTAACATGCTAGTATTTCTCTTCATCAAAGTTCACTAATAGTTCAAATTATTTAGACCAGTCTCAATCTAGAATTTCATCTTTTTGTTAATGATTGAACTCCCAACCACCTTTCACCAATAGGTACAGCAAGTTTCCTAAAAGGTGCAGGGATTTAACGTTCAGCAAAATTAGGCAGCTATTCTACTTTTCAGTGTAAGATTTATATTTTCAACTTACAGATGAGTCCTTTTGTTTCATCCAGGGCAGGTGCAGTATACATTTTGTAGATATGATGACAGCATTAAGGAAACCTCCAGATGGTTTTAAACTATCTTCCCCACATTTTCTTGGGAATAACTTAAGTCAATGGCCTTCATTTCCAGGTTGATATTCCTTCATTCCTTCCTTCAATTTAACTTAACCAAGTGACTCTGGGCGGTTTACAATTCTAAATTTATAAAACAATTAAAAACAAGAGAGTAAAAACATCCAGAAAATAAATATCAGTAGCAGCCAAATAAGTACTCAATTAACACTACAGCCAAGAAACAGGGCCCTTAACACATTCTGATTCCCAGCCCTGAGGGAATAGCCACGTTTTCAAGCTTTGAGTGTGGAATGTAATATGCAGAATATTGTACTGTCTTTTTTAAAATCTTTATTTTACTTAGAAAATAAAGCAAATCACAGTTACAGGGTAAAGAATGTATGACTTGGCAACAGATAATAAAACATTATTAAAAATAGTATTTAAGATATTAAAAACAACCTAGAACAATGATGGCTAACCTTTATGCCATTGTGTGCCAAAAGCGGGAGAAGCGCGGGGGGGGTCGCGCATGTGTGTGCTCACACCCATAATTCTATGCACCCCACCCCCGCACATGTGTGCGTGACCCCCCCTGCGCTTCCCTTGCTTTTGGCATGTGATGGCATGGTGGGCCCGGTAGGCCCATTTTTCGCCCTCCCCAAGCTCCAGAGCCTTTCTAGGAGCCTGGGGAGGGTGAAAATAGCCTTCCCCACTCCCCTGGAGACCCTCTGGAGGCCAGAAATGGCTTGTATGCCAACTTCCAGTGGGCCCAGAAGGCCTGAAAATCAGCTGGCCAGTGTGCGCATGTGTGCCGGAGCTGAACTCACGTGCCCACCAATATGGCTCCGCATGCCACCTGTGGCACGCGTGCCATAGGTTCGCCATCACGAACCTAGAATAAAAACAGCAATTAAAATGTAAAAATATCACAGGGGAACAGGGTGGATTTGATTTAAATCACAATTTAAATCACTAGTAAAAAGGCTTGATTTAAATCAACTCGATTTAAATCATAATTTTTAGAGAGCAACTGTCATCTCTGCTACTCCTTTGACCCACTGTTGACTCACCGATAGTCCCAGTGTTGCAGAATATACAGCCTCATGCTACATAACTAAGCTCCATTTCATGCTGAATAAACTAAATTATTTATGTATCTTAAATAGAAAACTATCTTACGATAGATTTTTACCCCAAAAGTTTTTTTATTAAAATAAATTCGATAAAAATAAAAAAAATCCGATTTAAATAAAAAAAATCTGATTTTTTTGATTTTTTTAAAAAAATCATTGATTTTTATCCACCCTGCAACTTTTGTATATCCTGTTCATTTTCTTCATTTCGTTCATGTCCTATTCTTGGAGTTTGCCTGCAGCTTTTTTGCTAACGTTTTTCAGAAGTGGTTTGCCACTGCCTCCTTCCCAGGGCAGAGAGTGAGTGAGTGGTAGGTCCAAGGTCACCCAGCTGTTTTGTGCCTAAGGCAGGATTAGAACTCATAGTCTCTTGGTCTCTAAGGTTTCTTAAGCACAAACAAACTGGCTGCCTTGTATATACTAGGGCAAACAATTGTTGGTGGATTTGACCTGTGATGTTTTGCAAAAAGGATAAGTGTTTTCCAAATTAAATCAAAGGTAACTTTTCTACTATAGAAACCAACATTTCTCATCCTTTATGCTTCAATTTTTCCATAACAACCACCTTCCATATTTCTTTTTCATAGCAGAGAGCTAATGACGGAGCCTCTGAATATTTCCAGTATGGTGCTTCACTATTCAGTTACAGTCCCAAGATATGTTTACAGTAATTATTTCGTGAGACAACTCAAAGAACTGAAAACATATCTGTTTAGTTCACGATAGTTGCTGCCAGGTTGGCTGATCAGTATACTGTTGAAGTACTTTGTACATGGAATGGGTGGAGCCCATCCCACAGCTACAAAATATGCATTTGTGGGGGTTAGTCCCTCTACAGAGGAGTGTACTGAATCTAAGTTGCAGGGTGGCAGGTATCCATTACATCCATCTGCCTTTTAAATCTTGAATCTCCCAACACTGCTCCCATTCAATAGCAAACCCTGGGGAGAAGTGAGGTGGGGGAAACCATGTACAATAGGGGATCTGTCCGATGGGATGAATCATTCTTTTGTTCTTGGGGGGAATGTTATCAACCCATCTTAAGGGGCTCAGCACCTGCACAGTCCTTTTGAGTGTCCCTTTTCTTTGCACCCCCACCACCACCACCTTTCAGCAATAAGAACATTACATAGGTTCTTACATAGACATAGGAAGAAATAGATGCTAGGTTTGGGTAGCTACATTTATGTTACAATGATATAGTTAAGTCAAGAGCTAAACAGACAAGGCAAATTTCTAGAAAAACCTGAAAGTTTTTAAATATTTCTGTTGGAAAAAGGTATTGGGAACATTTGCAATTTAGTGAGAGTGGGGAAAAAAAAAGAATGTTGAGACTGGACTAGCATATATAAGATTGAATGTCAGAAAAGAACCTGGGCAAGCCATCAAAAATTCCTTGAGTTTGACTGCAATCCTATCAGCCTCACTTGTGCATTTTCCGCATTCTTTGCTTGAGGGGTGAGGGGGAAGGAAGCGAGGAACTGTCTCAACTTTTTTCCCCCCTTCCTGCAGGGTCTTGATATGCCAGCCGAGAGTTGCTACGATCCAGCTTTATGTGGTCATTCCCAACAGATGGTACCATCCCCTAGCTACGGGCCATGTGCAGGGATGGGCGAGGGTTCTGTTTCCAATTACAATCACCCTACTACTGCAGCCTATGACCATTCCTACCCAGAAAATCTGCCTGCTTCTTGTACACTTTACAGTTACACCGGCATGCTGATCTCTTCCTCCCTGGAGCCTCCAGGATCTGCTATGCTGGGCGGATATAAAGGGATGCCAGGGATGATGTTGGGGAGGGAGCTAACGAATGGCTATGGACCACAGGGGCCTTGCAAGCTCCAAGAAGATCTGGAATCAGACTCTGGATTATCCCTTAATTACAGTGATGCAGAGTCCCTGGAAGCTGAGGGACTGGAGCGGGCAGAATATCCATCTTTGTATCCCTTGGACCACGTTCCAGCATACCCTCCATTGGCTCCTGTCCCAGAGATGCCCTTCCCTGAGCATCACCCAGAGCATTCTTTGGAAAAAGGGCAGAGCCCACGGGGAGAGTTAGTGGGCAACAGGGATGAACGTCGGGCTCTCGCCATGAAAATCCCCTTCCCTGTGGAAAAGATCATCAACCTGCCAGTGGATGACTTCAATGAGCTGCTGTCACGTTTCCCGCTGAATGAGCCTCAGCTGGCACTAATCCGGGACATCCGCCGCCGCGGTAAGAATAAAGTGGCAGCTCAAAATTGTCGCAAGCGCAAACTGGAGACATTGGTGCACCTGGAGCAGGAGCTGGATGAACTAAGTCGTGAGCGACAGCGCTTGTTACAGGACCGCGGAGAGTTTAACAGGAGTCTGACACTGACGAAGCAGAAGCTGGGAGCCCTCTACCACCAAGTCTTTTGCATGTTACGGGATGAAGCTGGCAATGCCTATTCCCCTGATGAATATGTGCTGCAGCTCACTATCGATGGTGGTGTCTTCCTTGTTCCACGCAACAAGCAGCCAGAAAGTGCCAATGGCTGAACTGAACAAGTTGAGGTAGAAACTGGGGGGATGGAATGCAGCCAGTTGACCCCCACAAAAGCATCTCTCTAGGGGCTCGGAACCACTCAAATGTTAAGAGTTCAGATTCCATACCGTACAGCTGAACTGAACACCATTCAAATCACCCAGAAATATTTTTCATTTCATTAGGAGAAAAACAGGGTTTGATGAAAACGGTACCTAGAATTTATTCCTTATCCAAACATCCATCCTTCTAAAATTTAACAGTCCCATCAGACTTCACTGATGTGGCCAGTTGTGACGGATGAATTATAATCCCAACAGTATTTGTAAGGACTATTTGTAATCCTCAACCCTTTGCTTACTTCGGTACTTCAAGCCAAATTACCTTGCATACAATATATAAGGCACTTGCTCATTTTACGGCTTTAAAATGTTCCCAACGTATTGGACTACAATTTCCACTGTCCAGAGCAAATATGAAGAAGCCTATTGTAAATTAGTTGTACATCCCTTTCTACACATTTCCAGAATGTTGAATTAAAAAATAAAAAATGAATTCTGCTACATCCTAGTTAAGACTATATTGCCGGGAGGTGTAAGAAATGAATGTTGCTTGTATTCAAAATTATAAGCTCTAAATGGGTTTCCCATTTTCTTTTGATTTTTTTGTCATCCATTTTTAAATCTATGCTATTCCTTTTCAAAGCACTTGCTAGGGTCATTACCACTGTATACCAGCCATAAAAAAAAAATGGAGGCGAAGAGTTTAAAAGATTTGTTTTTAAAGGCTACAGAAAAGGTAGAAAGAACCTGTGTTGTTCTAGGACAGAGTTCTTCAAACTTAGCAGCTTTAATACTTGTGGACTTCAACTCCCAGAATTCTCCAGCCAGCTATGCTTGAATAGCTATTGAAGTCCACAAGTCTTAAAGCTGCCAAGATTGAAGAAATCTGTTCTAGGACCTCATCATATCTCAGCAGTTAGCATAGTTCAATCTTTGAAAAGCTGAAACACTCTTTTAAGATTAGCAAATTGCCTTAAATCAGATGTCTAGTAGCATCTTTTATAAAAAAAGGCACAAGCTTTTTTGTGCCTTTTTAAATGTTAGCCTGAAAAAGTGCTATCAGACTCCTGAGTTTTGGCTATCATAGACTAATATGTTTTTCTTCCTCAAAGTTGCTTCAGTACATGATTTTGGCATTATTAACTTGCAAGCAGAAGTTGTCCTAATGTTCATCCCACAAAATCCAATTTTCAATTCGTATTGTTTTATAAACATGGATGCCAAAACAATGTTTCAGAATGTTGTGTACACAATCCATTATGGAATCCTCTACTGTAGATGCAAGGTTGATAAATGAGTTATGTGTTTTTGACTTTTGCCAGTTTTTAAGCAAATCACTGCAATTAAGTGAATCATGCAGTCTTTAAAAGTGAATCCAGGCTCTCCCATTGACTTTGCTCGTTGAAAGCCAGCAAAAGTAGCAAATGGTGATTGCATGACCCCAGGACACTGCACCCATAAATACATGGCACTGCCAAATGCCTGAACTTTGGTCATTTGGCTGAGAATGCCATAATGGTTGTACATGCAAGGACCAGTCATGTCACTTTTTTCATTGCTATTATAACTTTGGTTACTAAACAAATGGTAGGTCAAAAACTATCTGTAGTGGTTAAAAGGCATTTGATGGATCCTAGTTATCTAGGAGTATGCATTTACAAAGTGTTTTATTTCCGTTAATGAAATTGACCAAAAAATACCTCAAGGTGTTCCTAAGTGCCCCTTTCCCTCTCAGAGCCAAACCAATCCTTTGATTTACAAAGTTGCTATGGAAAGGATGGGATGACAGCTACAAGCCAAGGGAAGACTACCTTGGCAAATATATTAAATACTAAGAAAAGAGAAAAATAAGTTGAGAAAAGTTGATATTGGAAAGACAAAGCAAGATACTTCCCTTTTAGCTGCAGAGGGAACGTAGGTTATGTTCTGTAGAAAAATTACTAGAGTAAATAGTTACAAAAGGTAACTGACATAAAATGCCCAAATTAATTACAGTCCCAAAATTCCAGAGTGTTAAAATGCCTCTAATACTCCATGATTGAAATAGTGTCATCTGATGAAAAGATCTGTCCTTTTGTGAGATGGTGATCCTAGAACACAACATGAAAAAAAAGCGATTTTAAAATGTCAAAGGAAATTTGGGAGAAAATTTGCTGGTCTCATGTCAATAGCATAAAGCAATAGCAATGAAGAAATAAGCCTGCCTTGCTACATCCTCTGCTGCAGGTCTGCAAATGGGCTTTAGTTTCTCTGTTAATTGTTTTTAGATTTTAGTGGATTTAAGATTTCAAGTCACCGAGGAAGATGAAGCTACAATATTGCTTTTATCAATCGTGTCTCCTGTTAAATGGGATAAGAATATCCTCAAGGTTTTGAAATCTGTTTACCTCGTTTGACGGGATGGACTCTCCAGTTTAAAAGAAACGATTTTAAGATTGCCATCATACAAGATCTCCTCTGTAGGTAAATCCACGTAATTATATACCAAATATTGAACTTCTGCAAGATTATTTCAAACTCCAGGTGCACATATTGTCGTTTTGGCTAGGCGAGCCATTTGGACCAGTTTCCCACAGAAAACACCAAGAGCCACAAAACCTAGGTGGGCTTGGCCACTCATCACTCCCTCCCAGCCACATGATACACACCCCGCCACGCCTACCCAGGTTGTGTCTCCTGTTCTTTTCTGTGGGAAACAGGTCTCTCTCTTTCTGTCTCCTCTTCTTTCTGTCTCCTGTCTCTGTATGTCTCTTTCTTCTGTGTCTCCACCCTCCTCCTCCCTGGAGGAGGGAAGGAACCCTTGAACTGGTGGGAATCTGACATTGGGATAGAAAAGATGTGAAAGATCTGCTCGAAGAACCCGAAAAAAAACCCTCCGAGGAGTATGTTTGTAAAGCAGCCCCCTTCTCAGCCACTCTGCATCCATATGCAAGAGTAGGTTGCTACAATAGGTGTTTGGGTATGACAGCTCTTCCCCATTGTGTGTGTATGTGTGTGCGCAGGCAGAATAATATAACTTGCCCATGCAGGTGCAAAGACACTTATATGGGACAAATCAGGCACATGAACAATTCTTGTGTGGCTGGCAAGGTCCGGTGGGCCAGGCACAGATAGAGACAGATCGTTACGCTAGTCCAGTAATCGTCTCCAGGGTGAGCCAATGCGTGAATGGAATGACAGGAGCCACAGCATCTCCAAAGCAGATATCAGGTGCAGGGTAACCAAGGAGCGCACTGGCAACTACGGAGTCTCCCCCTTCCATCCAAGGTGCAACCCCTGTGGTTGGCAGCCCCAGGCCTGTTGCCTCCCCGACCACAGGAGGAGGTTGGGAGAAACACACACATCTTGAACCTGTGCATGTCGCTCTGGTGCTGCTGCTGCGGAGCCCACCAAGAATGACAGACGAGCAGAGTGTTGACGATCAACTGGGAGGCAGGGCATCACAGCAACTGACATCTGGGAGGCGAGAGCGAGCCACCGGAAGAAGTGCCCGTGAGACTCAGCAAGTACAGGGGCACTTCACTCCCTCTCTGGCATATGGAGCGAGTCTCCATCCCCCGCCATCACCCTTACCTTCTGAGGCCAGGTGAGGAATGACTGGGAGGGGAGGGCAAGGGGGTGGGCCAGCCAGTGGTGGGATCACCCAACACGGAGCCGGAGCAGAGGGGTGAAAGAGCTGCATGCGGCTCTGGAACCAAGGATTGCCAACACCTGGGCTAGCTGTGGCATGCTTTGGTAACAGCACTTAACCGGAATTAGAAAACACTGTTTTGCATGGTTCTGGTCCATCTTGACTACTGGAAAAGATGTCTGTATAAAATGTAAATATGATACAAATGCATAGATTTGATTTACCAGCTCAACTGTTGCACCAGAATCCTGGCTTGTTTGGAAAGTTATACATTCCCTATGCAATACAGGTAGTCTTCAGTTTACAACAGTTCGCTTAGTGACTATTCAAAGTTACAAAGGCACTGAAAAAAGTGAGTTTTGACCATTTTTCATACTTACGATCGTTGCAGCAATTCCCATGGTCACATGATTCACATTCATATGCTTGACAACTGACTCGCATTTATGACGGTTGCAGTGTTCTGGAGTCACGGGATTCCCTTTTGCAACCTTCTGACAAGCAAAGTCAATGGAGAAACCAGATTCACTTAACAACTGTGGCAAGAAAAGTCATACAATGGGCAAAACTCAACAAATTCATTTAGCAACCTAAATTTTGGGCTCAATTGTGGTCGTTAAGTTGAGAACTACCTGTAAAACTCCAGGCCAATTGCTTAGGAAAATATTAGTGTCGGAAACATAACTGAGTGACAAGCCAAAGACCTCAGTTTTGACTATTAAGGCAGTTCAGGGTGTTTACTCTTTTTGAAGTTTTTCCACCTAAATGAGGGCTAATCTTCAGATGTGGAGAAAACCAGCGTTTACAACAGGTATGAAAGGCCCAGTTAGCCATCTAGCATCCCTTTGTGTTTTGCCAAGAAAGTAGGGCTTCTTTGCCAAGGAAACCTGTGATTTGGGGAAAAGGGGAGTTCAAATGGGTACAAGTCTTATAGAGGATTATGGCACTTGTTCCAATTCCTCAACCCCGTTTTCCAGATAGCATAGCCCCTTGCGCCTATTTTTGGAGTATGCCTTTTGGCATGCCATGCAAAGCCTGGATAACATTTGACCCAATAGAAGTTGAGCACCCTATCTACAATAAAAGAATCTCCTGCCAAAAAGCCAAGGACAAGAATGATCTCTCTCATGTTCCTGGGGCCACCATCAGGTAGCTCTGTGCAGCACACCATTTAACGAAGGCCATGCTTCTTTTTTTATTAGTTTATAATGTAGCATACAAATAAAATACAAAAGCAGCAAATAATAGCAAAAATGGGGAAGGGAAAAGGGAACGAAATAGAGCGGGGGGAAGGGGGAAAAGAAAGAAAAGGCACTGACTTCCGACTCCCTTTGGTGCAGTAGTGTAAGGCATTAACATCAAACCTCAACTTTTTACTTTTACATAATAGTTTAAACTAGCCATTTCTATAACAAATCTATCTAATCAGTAAATCCCAAAGCCAATCTAACTATTTTTAATACTGGTTCAAGAAGCAAAATGGCTTCATGAGCTGCATATCATTTTAGGAAAGCTAATTTATAAGAACATATACTATAGTATAAGTAAAATGACCAAATGATTTCACTCTGTAGAGAATTTTTTTCTGAAAAAATGTTAAGTGTGTCCCTCAGACCAATACTGATTTGCTATCATAGAAGCTTGTTCATTCTTAAACATTCTAACATTCTTTTGGAAGAGATGTTAACAAGTCACAAAAAGGTAGACAAGAAATTTATATCAAAAACTGTTTTATTAAATAAATCTATTCATAATAATATATTATACGCACAGCTACCTAGTAGCAACATAACTTTCTTTGAAAGGTTTATGGTACATCAAGCTGAGGAGTCCTGCAAGACAAACAGCAATAATAAATTTTAAGATCAGA